AACCTGCCCTCGAGTTCCAACCGTTGCCAGACAGTCCACTTCTCCCGTTTTAGTCTGGGTCCCCAGAGACTCGCCAGGAACTGGAGTCTGAGACTCCCTCCTGATTGAAACAGACAACCGCGCCCTCCGCCGCCAGCCCGCTCCGCATGCACTCCGCACCTTAGTATTTGACTTCAGCACTGCGCCTCCTCTGAGTCTCGGTATGCTATTCTCTTTCCTCCTAGTTGTAGAACTGCCACTCAGCCAGCCTTCCTGTGGTTCTGGATGATGTCCGTTCCGTCTTTTATTTGTATTTTTGAAGTGGTTGTTCAAAGCAGCAAACTCCGGCATTAACCTATGCCGCCATCTTGGTTTCTCCTATTTTTTGACATCCTTATGGGCTCAGAATGCTCCTGTCGTTGTTGTATCTGCGCACTCTCCACCTCCAATTAGGGCATCATCTGATGTCAGTAACAATAAGGCTTGTTGATTGGAGGAAGCCTGTTTGACAAGGTATGGGCAGCTAAGCACCTGCCTGGCTCCCTCCTCAGCTGACTTCTGTGTATAAGATGCCCCTCGATTTTCAGTCTAATGATTTTAGAAAAACATAGCATCTTATACACGGATAAATACAGTACTTAGAATATGACATATAAAATCAAATGGAGAATAGGAGGAGCTATAACTGGAAGAGATAAAAAGGTCTAATGATACATTTTGAGATTCAGGGAAAAACGAATATTGAATTACTTTACTTGCTATCATGATAACTAAGAGCACCATGTGGGCATTTATGATAGAACTAGGTCAGTGATGGCGAACCTTTTGAGCTCGGTGGCGTGTCAGCATTTTGAAAAACCCTAACTTAACTCTGGTGCTGTGTCACATATAGAAATTTTTTGATATTTGCAACCATAGTAAAAGATTTATATTTTTGATATTTATTTTACATATTTAAATGCCATTTAACAAAGAAAAATCAACCAGTAAGATGAGTTTGCGTGTCACCTCTGACACGCGTGTCATAGGTTCGCCATCACTGAACTAGGTGGTGGTACTTGCATCTTCCTTAACATGTCTCCTCCCACTTTCCATTGCAGTATAGCCACTAATGAAACAGTTACTTCAGTCTACGAAACCCAGAACTTTACCCTGATAATGTATTATTGCCTTTTGTGATGAGGCAAAGAGCTCACCAGTATAAATTTTTAAGGCTGCCTACAAGCACAATTGTAGTACAAGATGTGGAAGTCCCTGGGTGGTTTTGTGTCTTGAACAATGGCAACCAAGGACTGACATCTACACTATGGGTCTCCCCAGGATTTAATGCTTCAGCTAAACTCCCTCTACCAGTCACTTACCACAAGTATTCCAATGCTTTGATGAGCCATGAGCTCTTCATTTAACTCCACATCATGGAGCCCATTCTCTATCTCCCTCTCCCTTCCTCTCTGAAATCAATCTCCATAAATAAAAGCCTAAGTGACCGTCCGATCATTTAACCATCTGACCCGTAGCTATGACATGCAATAACACCAGGGGGCAGACGCTCCAACCAGTAGCTATGATATGCACTGACCACCAGGAGGGCAGATGCTCAATGCTGGAGGTGCCATGCTGCGGTGACTTGGCAGCTGCAGTTCTTGAGTGATGCACCCAGAACCAGAGAGGAGGGAGCCTAATACCGGTGAGCATCACCCGAGAACCACCTTCTCACAATCTGAGACCCCTCGGGGGATGTCAGAGAGCTGGTTTCAGCCTGATCGCCACAGGCCAGGCCGAGGGATGCCACTGGTGCATGAATCCATGCACCAGGCCTCTAGTAAAAATATATTTAAAATAAAAGTTCAAAGATAAAATTACTAAGAATGTGAAGTTGGAAACAGCAAAGCATCAAACCACCTATGGAGTTTTTCTGAGTCTAGTGCCCTATACTATGCCACGAGCCCATGACACTGGCCCTGCCTGAGGCTGGCCTGAGGCCCTGTGCTTTCCTTTCCCCAGCAGCTCTCATCTGGCAACTGACATCCGTTGATAAGTTTTCATTTCTTTTCTAAACTATTTAGTCTTATCAGTCTCTTTCTGGCTCTATCTTGGTTTCTTCGGTCCATTTAAGTAAAATGAATAGAACAATTCTGCCCCACATTTTTCTCCAGAGGAAATATAATTTACTGTTTGTTTCAACGATAGGAAATAGGGGAGAAGCTGGGAGCCACATTGGCTCTGTGGGCAGGGGACCAGAATGTAGATGGTTGCTGTTGCAGAGATGGGCTCAGAAAGGACTGGGATGTGGCTTTGTAGTTTTAGGCTTTGGAAAAGGACTGGATAGAAATTAGATGTTTTTAAAGTTGCTTAAAAGCTAATGCGAGAGAAGGGTAGAGGTCTAAAGAGTTAATGGTCACCTTGACTAGAAATACTTAAAGAAGTAAAATGTTCATTGAGGCAAAGGGGAGAGTCATTTGGCTTATCTGAATCTTCAAGCTTGGATGAGGTATCATCTAGGACAGTAATTTTTTTAAAAATATATATTTTTATTGATTTCAGAGAGGAAGGGAGAGGGATAGAGAGATAGAAACATCAATGAGAGAGAATCATTGATTGGCTGCCTCCTGTACGCCCCCTATGGGGAGGGGGAAATCAAGCCAGCAACCCAGGCATGTGCCCTTGGCTGGAATCAAACCTAGGACCCTTCAGTCCCCAGGTCAACACTCTATCCACTCAGCCAAACCAGCTAGGGATAGGACAGTAATTTTTTTAAAAAAATCTTTATTGTTGAAAGTTACACATGGCCCCTTTTTTCTCCCATTGACCCCTTACAGCCTGCCCCTAACCCCTGCCACAGGCCTCCACCAGCCTATTCCTTTATCTTGGACAGTCATCTTATAATGCAGGCCCCCTAGTTCACAGAGGAGACCAGGAAGGTTATGTGAGCTCTGCCAAATCTGTCCCCTCTCCAGGGCACCCACTCTAGGACAGTAATTTTTAAACTTAAAAAATGCAATCCACAGTAAGAAATAGACTACATGTATTATATGCCAATCTCACACATATACCTAAAAAAAAGTCCCATGAAACAAAATACACTTGTTTGATGTCATCTGAAATGTTCTGTTTTTGTAATGCAGTGTGACTCACTAAATTAATTTCACAACCCAATGAATAATGGATCTCAACCGGCAGTTTGGAACACTCTGATCTAAGGGAAATGAGTCTAGATGACTTTTATCAAGGACCCACGCTATCAGAAATACAAGCAAACATAGAAAATGCTACATGGTGTCTTTAACCACAGGTCATAGCTCTAACATTATAAAGTTTGTAACTTTGCCTACTTTCATTTATCACCTCTGGGTTTCCCCTGTTGTGATTTATAGAAAATGACCATCATTCTGAAATTGAGAGAGTGGATTTCAAAAAGATTCTTGGTATTTTTGTGGTCATTTTCTGATGCAGAGTAAGATTGAAAGCAGACTCATTTCACCTGCTGTTTCTTCTTTTACCCCAGGATGATGTGAAGTGTAAAGAGTTGGGTGATTTCTGTTACATTTTATGTAATGAGTGAAAGAGAGTGTATTTATTTTTAATGCTAAAACTAGTCAATTGTGAGTTGTCAGAAAATCACTGGTTGTGAGAAATGTACAGTACTGCATTGACCATTTGTTGTTGTTT